CCCCCGCCAATAGAAATAATTAAAATAGACAAAACGACAGGGTACATTCAAATGAAGCTCATGGAACAATTATACGTCGAGCGCAAGACAGTTAATTTCCCACAAGATTTTACAAATCAAGACCCGTCCAAAAGTCGAAAATTGGTACGTTGTACAGACTTTGCTGCTTGACATGCAGTCGTCGGTGTGAATAAAGGTGTAAATCACAATGTGTAATGTACACCATTGACTGCATCCCACGCAGCGTACACACGCCACCCCGTCCACCGCGCAATCATCATCCACTCGAAGCAGATGAACAACAATTTACGAAGGTATATTTAGGAGGCACCTTTCAAAGTGACCTCCCACCTCCATTGGAAGTAAAGGGTTTAACCAGTGCCGCGCGTGCTCCGCCCGGTCGCTCAGCTGGGGAAGGTCGGGCGGCCGTCGTCACGCCCGCCCTTCCACCCCCGCCGCATCCCCGCCTCCGTCTCCATGCTGGCGAGCACGACGCCGCGGCGCAGCGTGACCAGGTGGTGGAGGTACTGCTTGGGGCTGGACAGCGACACGGCGGGCGTGGCGGGCGCGATGCGGCCGTGGCGGAGGTGTGCGTGGCGGTGGTCCGAGTAGGCGCAGGGCGGGAGCGGGCGGCGTGGGCAGCACAGCCACGGGTCCGGAGGTCGCAGGAGCCCCAGGCCCCACCGCGACGGCCGCAGTGAGCCCGAGCAGGTGCTCCTGGACCTCCAGGGCAGGCCAGACCCAGTCCGACCGTGGCCGGGGTCGTAGAGGTCAGCCATACTCTCCGCCTTTCGAGGCGGCGGTAATGGGAGGGTAAGGTCGTCCTCGGCGTTCACGTCCGTCCAGGTGAGGTCGCCGTCCTCCCAGGCGCGCAGCGTGAGCGGTGAGCACTGCGTCGAGGACGAGGCCGTGGCGCGAGAGGGCAGGGTGCACTGGGAGGCGCGGGTGCGCGTGGACACGTTCTCGGTCGCCGTCAGCAGGCTGCACTGCGCGCTCGCGTCCGAGATGCTCTGCGTGGCTTTGCTGCTCGTGGTCGTCGGCCCACCAAGCGTCGTCTGCGTGCTGCTCGTCTGCGAGGTCGGTGGCCTGGGGTCGGGTGCCGGGGGCGGGGTGGCTACTGCAGGGGCGGGGGCGGGAGTGGGTGCCTTGGAGAGGCCGTCTCTCGCGGAGCGGACATAGAGCGCCGCCTCGCCCAGGAGGCACGTGAGGCTCTGCAGCACGGCCAGCCTGTCGACCCCTGAGATGACGGGGGTGGGGCGACGCCGCTGAGTAGCGACCGGGGTAGGACGCCGCCGCCGCTCCGGGCGCACGTTGAGGAGGTTGACGAGCAGGCGCCGCTGCTTTGGAGTCAGGTTGCGCCTGGCCGGAGGAGGCACCGCGGCGGGTGGAGAGTCGCTCCCCGCGGCAGCGGGTACGGGGCGCGCTGTCGCGGACGGCCTCGGGGCGGAGGCAGCAGAGCTGTCGGCCAGGCAGGGGAGACGAAACTTTCGTGGAGGGCACGGCGTCTCCTGTGTCACGGGAGAAGCGACGGGTTCCGAGCTCGGAGCTGGGGCGGCTGGCGCCTCTGTGGGCAGCTCGTCCAGACCGTGGTCCAGGCTTCGCGAACGTGGTGCGGTCGTTGGCGGCATGCTGACAGCTGATTCGAGGTGGGCGTCCAGGGAGAGGGGCGGCATGGGCTGAATGATCTCCAGGCTAAAGACCTGCTGGTGAAGATGTGGCGAGCCTAGAGGCAGGCACACTACGGCCGACAAGGACTCCCCCGTCTGCTTGCCCGCGCCAGCGCCCGGTCCGGCCTCCGCTATGATGTCCGGTGGGGCCGCGGCATAGTCCGGGGCCTGCGCCGGGGGTGGGGCCGGCGGTGGCGCCTTGTGGAAGTGCGCCGGCCCCGGAGCCCCCTGAGCGACCGGCACCCCCGGGGCGCCCAGCTTGCCGCTGAAGGCGGGGCGGTCGTCCGTGGCGCCGCTGGGGATGTGCTGGCCGGCGGAGAGCACGTTGGGGCTCATCGCGCGAGGCGGGCCGGCGGGCGCGGGGACGGTCAGTCGGTAGGAGCAGGTCGGCGACGTAGGGGGGCCCTGGAATGAAAGGCGCACGTCGCACTGGACCGCGTGCTTCCCGTGGCCGTCGCCGTCGGAGACCTTCTCCTGTGCGGTGGGTCCGCGCACCTCCGTCTCAGTGCCGCAGTCTCGGTGACGCGGCGCCAAGCTCGGGTCCTCGTCGGTCGCTGTGCCGACGTCCTTGAATGGTGCGTCCATTGGTGACGTCATCACAGCCGCCTCGGACGCCTGAAATGCACAAAGTAGAGTGACATCTGAACCCTTCTCGAAATTCGAGCGAAATCGGTGGGCTCTCCTTACCTGAACGGTCATCGTCGCCTTGTCGTTGTTGTCCGTGGTCATGGTCACCGCGTCCCTCGTCGCTGGCTCCTCTTCCTCTTCTCCCGTCATGGTCGCTGCGTCGTAGGCTATGCTGGTGGCCGCGTCCGCCGTGCGTGTACGGGGTGCCTCAGGCTCTCCTGTTTGACATCCGTGACTCGTAGTCCTGTGTGCGGCGGTGGATCTAGGGGCGGGGGACTCGAAGCGCCCGCCACTCTTCAGAGAGAACGCCCGCATCAGGGTGCCACACGGGAGCGGGTCCGTGTCCGCGGCGTGCGCAGGGCTGGCGCCCGCTTCCCCCCCGGGCTCCAGGCTGTCGTCCGAGAAGGCGTCGTCGGCGACGTGGCGCTGGCGGAAGATCCCCAGACCGGGCGCCAGCCCCCACAGGGGATCGGCGCCGAGCCCCAGGCCCCAGAGCGGTTGCAGGTAGAAGGGGTGCGGGTGTTGGCACGCCTTGTCCGCGTGCTGCACTCCGTCCGGCCCGCAGGCCTTTTCCTTGACCCTCAGCACGCCGAGGTGTTCCGTCTGCGCCTCCTGGTCGCGGCGCTTACGGTGCAGGTGCAGCGCCAGGGCGCGCTTACTGATCTCCTGCAGTTTGGCGCGCGCGTTGGAGCACAGCTTGAGCTCCTTGGGCTCGTCCTCCGCCTCCTCGTTGGTGTCCGGCAGCGCGCCGCCCCCAGCCCCGGCTACGCCCCCCACGTACTCACCCGGCCTGGCCCCTACACCCGGCCACGGCCCGGACCAGGCGGCCGACCCGGGCTCGGGCTTCTTCTTCTGCGTGTAGAGGCGCTTGGTGACGGCCGCCACGATCTCCGCCTTGCGCGCCTCCTTGGTGGGTCGGTGCACGATGGTCACCCTGGAGAAGGGCGCCGACGGCCCCCCTACGGCCGGTGGTGTGGTCGGGGAGCTGCGCGTCGGCGTCGCGGTCGCGGACGCAGCCGGGGTGGCCGCCGACGCGGCGAACGTCGTGGTGCGTGGGGGAGCGGCGGCCGCGGCCGGTATCCCCGCTCGGTTCAGCGGGTTGAGGATCACGGCCTTCTTGCCCGGCAGCGGGGGCGGGTCCCCGAACGAGCGGCGCGTGACGGTGGAGCGGCGCGCCGGCGCCGAGTTGATGGAGTTGTCCGAGCCGGAGAGGCTGCCGCTGCCCTGAGCGCCGCGCATCTCGAGCATGGACCCGCGCCGTCGCATACCGGCCCTGCAGCAGAGAGGAAGTCAGTGGCCGGGCAGCACGGCCTCCCGCACCTCGGGGGCGGCGGCGAACCTCGGGCTCGGGCTGCCGCACGGGGGCGGGGCGCCTTCCGGTTCCGGGCGCGGCCGCGGGGGCAGGTGCTGCTGGCAGGGCGGGCGCGGCCCGGCCCGGGGCCCCTGCGGCTTGGAGAGTATGCAGCCCGCCACACCTGCACGCGAGCGCGTTGCCTGCCGCACTCACACGGCGCCCGCAGTGCAGAGTGACTGGCGGGGCGGGGCGGGGCGGGGCCATCCCGGAGCGTGCCGTGCGGACAGGTCGTAGGTCAGTGCACCCCGCACCGGAGGGGCCGGCCAGGGATGGGGGGCGGGGAGACGAGCCACGAACGCGCCAATCGACAAGAAGAGAAGTGATAAAAGGTGAGGGTTATTTCTATGTCTCTCGCATCATTTCGACATGTTTCGTACGTGGGAGACGTAGCGGAGCGTCACCGGTACTCGGCGTCGTAAAAGTGTGGCTGGTCCTCCTGGACTTTAGCGTCAGGCACTTAGCTTAAACCGTTACGTTGGGAGCCCCATCCCCTCCTTCTCTCTCCAACAGCTTAGAGCGGTGGAGGAGTCGTTGACAGCTTGTTACACGTCCGCGAGCCGTGCCACCCCGGCTCGACCCCCCGTGGTGGCTGGGTCTGGTTGAATTCGTGAATCCGGCGAGGTGCTTGGTCCCCCTTCGGGTTCCCGTCCGGGTCTCCTGGTCCCGACCCGGGCCCTAGGGGCTGCGATGGGGCTGAACGGGGCGGGCGGGCGCGGGAACTCGCGTGCCCCCGCCTCATAACTGCGACTCATCGCCACAAGCGACCTTCGCCCCCTCCCCGCGACTCCCCGCCACGCCACGACGCCCCGCCGCGCTCGCAGAGCTCACACTTGCGCGCCCTATGGGGTTCGCGCCCTATGGGTGCCTGCCTATGGCCTATAGCCTCCGGGCTATAGGGGCCG